AAAAAAAAAAAAAAAAGTACCACTAGGCCCGTCGGCGCCGGCATGGGTATGGGTACTAGGTACCAGGTTAGGACCCCTCAGGACCCCTCCTCCACTTCCGCATCAGTGCGCCTGCTCCGCATTGACCGGTCAATCGCATCCATCGTCGTCGGGATTGCGAATTTGCGGCGGTGAAAGCGGCTATGCGAGAAAATAGGGATCCATTAGCACGTTAGGTAGGTGCTTTGGCTGGGCAGCCTGCCTGCCTAGGTAGTGACCTACTAGTTTGACACCTAGCTAAGGGACAGAGTATCGGAAGATGGGAAATGGCAATAGGGCAGTTGTGAGGGCGCGGCGCGCTAGCAAGGCTATTGTAGTTTGCTGCCCGTGGGCGGGCGGATCTGCGTCCATGGAGGGAGGCTGCCCGCCTCGCTTCGAGCCGCCGCCGCCGCCGCCGTCACAGAGTTTGCCGAGACTGGTGAGACGAGACGAGAGAGGAGAAAGAGAGAGGCTGGAGCGAGCTATGGATACCTAGGTGTACTGAGCCTACCTACTCAACCTCACGCAGCCGACGTCTTCCTTCATACGCGCACATACGTACAACCTATACTACATACATACCGCACGCACCTGATCTCGCTACTAGGTACTCTACTAGGTACCTACTCTACGCGACGACGTTTGACCTTGTCGTCCTCCCCGCCAACCCCAAAGCCAATGATGCAACCTACCTAACGAAACCCACGCGCGCGCGCGCCGGTAGCGGCGGCAACGATGCGGCACACCCGCGCGATCACCTAAAGCGAGGGAAAAAAAAGGTCGCCCATCGCTCGCTCGTCTCGTCTGATCGGCCGGCCGGCGCATCACCCATCGCTCCCGCGCCGCGGCCGCGCGCGCGCTCCATCGCCTCCCGCATTAACGGGTCTCTTTTTCCCGCGGCCTTGCCCCTTGCGCGTGCGCGATGGATGCGGCTCTTGCGTATAGTACTCTACTCTGCTCTGCTCTAGCTGGCGGGCAACTCCTCGACTCGACTCGACTCAGACTCGAGTCTAGGCAGCTTGCACACACAAAGACAGCAGGCCCAGGGGCGGTGGTCCATAGCTAGCTAGCTACAGTAGCGCGGCGGGGCGGAGATGAAAGGTCCCGCCTCGGGCGTGGTGGGCGGTTTTATCTGATGCGCGCGACTCCACTGCACCTCGCCTAAGTACGTACTTTGCCCGCTGCTCCTGCGGCTAACTAGCTCCTTGGTGCCTTTTGTAGCGACTCCTAGCGGGCGACGATTGTCGAACAATGGCTAGCTGCCGCCTGGCGCTGGCTGGCGCTGCGGCGTATGGCCCTTGATGGGCAGCGCGCCCGAGAATGATTACTTATCGCTACTTTCGCTCTCGAGCTGTCTCGCTCTGTGTGTGCGTGTTGCCTGCTTCCCTCCCTCTCGGCTTCGGCTCTCCCGTTTTTCCTTTCTTTCTTGCTTCCACTTCTAGAAAGCCTAACAACGTCAAGCTGACGGCAAATCGTGGAGAACGAGGCCGTTTGGCGGCGGGTATTCCCGGACCGCATGAGATCATTCGTCTGCATGCCTGTGTGTTGCATGGCTGGTTTTTTTTTTTTTTTTTTTTTTTTTTTTT